TGTACGAGTGAGGTAGAAGACGATGACGCTATGCTAGAGTCAATCGAACTGGTAATGACATTGATATTTGAGCTTGTTGGTTGCACGAGTGACGCAAAAGACGATGACGCTATGCTAGAGTCAATCGAACTGGCAATGACATTGCTACTTGAGCTTGTAGGTTGTACGAGTGAGGTAGAAGACGATGACACTATGCTAGAGTCAATCGAACTGGTAATGACATTGATATTTGAGCTTGTTGGTTGCACGAGTGATGCAAAAGACGATGACGCTATGCTAGAGTCAATCGAACTGGTAATGACATTGCTACTTGAGCTTGTTGGTTGTACGAGTGAGGTAAAAGACGATGACGCTATACTAGAGTCAATCGAACTGGCAATGACATTGCTACTTGAGCTTGTAGGTTGTACGAGTGAGGTAGAGGACGAAGACGCCATGCTAGAGTCAATCGAACTCGCAATGACATTGCTAATTGAGCTTGTAGGTTGTACGAGTGACGTAGAAGACGATGACGCTATGCTAGAGTCAGTCGAACTAGTAATGACATTGCTACTTGATCTTGTTGGTTGCACGAGTGACGTAGAAGACGATGACGCTATGCTAGAGTCAATCGAACTGGTAATGACATTGCTACTTGAGCTTGTTGGTTGCACGAGTGACGTAAAAGACGATGACGCTATACTAGAGTCAATCGAACTTGAAATGTCATTGCTCCTTGAGCTTGTTGCTTGCACGAGTGACGTAGAAGACGATGACGGTATACTAGAGTCAAACGAACTGGTAATGACAACGATATCTGAGCTTGATGACACCTTTGATTCAATAGCAGTAAAAGCAGAAAACAATGAACTCGGAGCTATGACTGTAGACTTTTCCAAAGACACAAATTTTGAAGACATCTCACTTAAACTCGTGCTAACTGACCTCATACTTGCAGAGAAACTCGTGCTAACTGACCTCACAGTTGTACTAAAGCTTGTTGGTTGTACGAGTGACGTAGGAGACGATGATGTTACGCTAGAGTCAAACGAACTGGTAATAACATTGCTACTTGAGCTTGTAGGTTGTACGAGTGAGGTAGAAGACGATGATGTTACGCTAGAGTCAATCGAACTAGTAATGACATTGCTACTTGAGCTTGTAGGTTGTACGAGTGAGGTAGAAGACGATGACGCTATGCTAGAGTCAATCGAACTGGCAATGACATTGCTAC